GGGGGGGGGGACAGAGTCCCGGGTGCAGGTCCAAGCCTTCAACGCCATCGGCTCGGGGCCCTGGAGCCACTCGGTGGTGGGACGGACCCGGGAGTCAGGTACCGCTGCCCACCCTGCGGCGCTCAGCACCCACCCCAGCCGGATCCAGCCCCTGACCCCAACTCTCATCACTCCATCAGTGCCCTCCTCTGGCCCCAGCAACGTGTCGGCGCTGGCCACCTCCTCCAGCAGCATGCTGGTCCGATGGAGTGACATCCCCGAGGCAGACTGCAACGGCTTCATCCTGGGCTACAAGGTGAGCACCTACCCCAGCCCTGGCCCCGTGGCTCTGCCTGCCCACAGCCCTGCCCATGCCCTGCCAGCCTCACCCGCAGACCTGGGGAGCACGGCTTTCCCTGGGGAGAATCACCCAGGTCCCCGGTTGTGCCATCTCCGAGAGATGGTACCCATCTGTGCCAGCCCTGGCCATGCTGCTCCATCCTGGGGGGCCCAGGGGGGTCCTAGGGGCTGTGGCATTGCCTGTCTGTGTCACGCAGGGTCTGTTGCAGGTGATGTACAAGGAGAAGGGCTCTGCCACGCGTGCCCAGTTCTGGCTGGCAGAAGGCAATGCCTCCCGTAGCGCCCAGCTGAGCGGGCTGGGCAAGTACACGCTCTACGAGATCCGCGTGCTGGCCTTCACCAGGATCGGCGACGGCGTGCCCAGCCAGCCCCCCATCCTTGAGCGGACGCTGGACGATGGTGGGTGACAGCACTGCAATGACAGAGACACCCAAATGGGCTGGGGGGCGTCCCCTGGGTGCCGAAGGCCATGCCTTCCCATGCCCATGCCTTCCCATGCCCATGCCTTCCCATGCCCATGCCTTCCCTGTTCCCTTTCCCCCCCCCGATGTGGGACACCCAGGGCTCACATTCCCAGTGCACGGGGTCGAGCCCTGCTTGCACAGGGCCTGGTAGTTTGCCAGACTTGTGCCCCCCCCCGGTGAACCCCACCTCTCCCCGCTGCAGTGCCTGGACCCCCCGTGGGGATCCTCTTCCCCGAAGTGAGGACCACCTCCGTGCGGCTCCCCTGGGCGCCCCCCCCGGCGC